TTTTGTATACAAACCTACAGGTGAAAATAGAAAGTGATGATGATGCGAGATATGGCCTTCTGTACTTTTCTGAAGGAAGCATGCAATCTACTCCTGTGCAGTAGAGAACTTCACATATAAAGGAATGCTTGGAGGTGGTGTTAGAGAGGGATGATCATACAGAGTCACTCAAAAAGACTATTCCATGTGTTGCAAAAATTCAAAAGAAGGAAGCAGCAAAGCTGATAGTACAATAATTTGAAATTGCATTCATTTTTTTCTTCATAACAGAGAAAACCTAGTGACAGCATAGATTTACATAACGTTATAAAAATTGTAAGAAAGAAGATATAAATGTGACCCGATATGAGAAAACCAGGCTATCTGCGGGAATTATAATTTTGAGCTATGGGCTCATACTGACAAAAAATATTTACCTGGGCGAAATTCATTTTATCACATAAACATGTTATACAAACAAAACCCTTTCATTTGATACCAAAATCAGGGGTAGCGAAGCCTTCTTTGCTGAGTTATAAGCCCTTCGACATTTTTACCTTGATTGTGCACGGAGAATGTTACACGGAGCGACCACGGAATAAAAACGGAGGGCTTTAATGCGTCATTAGGTAACCATGGAGTCTCTATAGCAACTATTTAAAGTATAACAAAGACAAAGAAGACTACTTTTAAAACTATGGCTACAGAAAGACACATTGCTCGCTTGTTAAATGAAGAAATAGGTCCTCGAGACAGTGACTACGTTGCTTCAGTTCTTGGGGACTACTTTTGTGATGAAACTAGTGGTAAGCTTATTCATAACACTGTTTACATACTAACTGTGAATAGCGGTTAGCTATCACAGCAATAACATTCCATCACCTGTATAAATGCATAATATTATTATATTAAACTTAGTTATACAGTGTATTTGTTAATTGATAGAGACAGACTATGAAGCAGTAGAAGATATGCAAGGAGAGGTAGAGGAAGGGAAAGAGAATGAGACAAAAGATTGTGATGAAGATATTAATCCACCACTGTTTGATCCTGAGGTGGCTGTGGAGCTACAAGTATCAGATCTTGATTTAGAATCAGCGACGCCTGACGCTCCAGCTACTTTAACTACTCACTCTTGTGATGACATGAGGAAGGAAGACCTACAGGAGGAAGAAGATTTATCAAAGTTCTTTGAACATGGATGTGGTTGCTCAGATAATTGCAGTCACTCTTACATAAAAACATATACATGTGACATACAAGCCATGGCAAAGCCTGTTCAAGAAATTGCTATTATGAGTCAAATGGCAGCAACATCTACCATGGGGGGATTGTCGACTGGCAACCACAGGAGACAGAAAGAGGCAATTTTTTACTTTCATGCATCAAGGTCATAAGGTTTGTAACTATGAGTAACACAACACAAAATTAATTGTTCTTCAACTAGATATGTAGAGTAACATTTCTGAAGCTACATGCATGTGGCAAAAGCAGGTTTGAGGAAATCATTAAAAACTACAGAATGAATGGATTAATACCAAGGTATGAGACTTACAAATTAACTGTTATGTACTTAACTTTATTAGAGTTCACGGAAATGCTGGAAAGACACCAAACCATGCTTTGACTTATGATGATATTGTCCGGGTTGTTGCTTTCATCAGAAATTACGCTGAAGTCCATGGAATCAGTCTTCCTGGAAGAATACCTGGAATGAAAAGTTACGAGAATAAGAAGGTCTTACCATGCAGTACATCTAAAAGGCAGGTATACTTAGAGTATGCGGAATCATGTGAAGGGCTTTATGTCAAAGCATGTGCAGAAACAACATTCAACATGTTGTGGCGACGCTACCTGTCTTATATTGAAAAAATGAAGCCTATGTCTGACTTGTGTGCCACTTGTAATGAGATAAGTGCACTGATTATAAGAAGTGCTAACATGCAATCAGATGAAAGGATAACTTAGGTAAGTCAGTGTTGTAATAATACAAGTATTATTTAGAATTTTCCGGCAATGCAAAAGGCACTAGATCACAGAAGTCTTGTTAAAAATGAAAGGGAGTACTATAAGGATGTATTAAAAGAGGCACAATTATTGTTAAAAGGGCTGTATACTGATGCAGCAATTAGTTACAATCCCCCACTAACAAGGCCACTTGCTATTAAATATTCTAGAACATTATAGCTTTGATTATGCTCAACAGGTAACATTTTATGATAATTATGAAAGTGTATCTAGCTCACTTACTTTTTTAAAGGTTCACTATCCTTCAAGTCCACTACAAGCAGGTCCAATTTATTTTCTTACTTCCAGGAAATGTGACATATTTGGTGTGTGCTGTGAAGCTATCCCTCAGCAGGTTAACTTCTTGATCGAAGAATCATTTGACACTGGTAAAGGGGCAAATCCTGTCATATGCATGGTACATTTTTACTTGTAGAATCATGGCCTCAACTCAGTCAGTATCCATTTCAATGCTGACAACTGCACAGGGCAAAATAAAAATAATACAGTTATTCAAGTAAGTATATTACATGCACAATAATGAACATTTTAAATGTAATTTTTATTTATTTTAGTACCTTTTATGGAGAGTCATGACAGGACTCAATGCGTCCATTTCAATATCTTTTCTGCCAGTTGGACACAAAATTTTCTCCTGACTGGTGCTTCGGACTATTAAGGAAAAAAATTCCGTAAGGCAGAGGTGGACTCATTGGATGACTTCATTCAAGTTATAGAACAATCATCTGCTGTGAACAATGCCCAACCAGTAGGAAGTAGCAATGGTGAACTCATTGTAGAAACACTTGACTGGTGTAGTTACTTTGCTACATTATTCAAGAAAAAAAAGCATCAAAAGCTTTCAACACTTTGTTGTAAATGCGACCTCACCTGGTGTAGTTGCAGCCAGACAAGCTGTAGATGGCCCAGACACACAATTCAACTTGATGAAGGAGGACGCTCAAATAATGCAAGATGAACTACCTAATATATTACCACCAAAGGGTATGTCAACTAAAAGGAAATGGTACCTTTACGAAAAGATAAGACCGTTTTGCAGATACGAATGTAAAGATGTAACCTGCCCACTTCCTGATGCACCTCGACTAACAGGATCATCTCGACAATCAACTCCAGGTGAAGATGATCCACCAGACCTCGCAATGGAGATTGAAGTACCACATTCTCCAAGGCAATCTCTAGAACCACCTGCAACACAAAGAAAATTTGGTAATTGTGCTCAATTTGGTCATAATAGAAGAACTTGTCCATGTAATCAGTAAATGAATAACAAATGAGTTTGTGTAATGCACGTACCATTGATCCCCTTTCAACAGGAGAGGAACTAGTTTGCCTACAACAAACAGACTATTGATCCCCTGAAACAGGAGTGGAACTAGTTTGAATGCCAAATATTGAAACTATTGATCCCCTAAAGGAGAGGAACTCGTTTGTAATGCTAAGACATACAAACTATGGATCCCTTTTTTTGAAAACAAAGGTGTGGAAATAGTATGTGCGTGAGACATTAACATAAACCCGAGCACTCATTTTTGTTTAAAACTTACTAACTCAAAAGAGAAAAAGTTAGTCACGAAGTTATCATGCAGGTGATTTGTGTTTATCTGTACAGGTGAGAGGACTGATGATAAAAATGCGTGGGAGGAGAATACCGAAATAGAAGTTATTGCGTCATTCACAGCTAATCAAACAACACCAAGTGTCACCTGTGACCTTTAGGATATAAAATAAGACACCTGAAACTGTAAGTTCAAAATCAAAAAGTAATGGCTGCCCCAATAGAGGATGTCCTCATTGAGGTCCATCCATCTGATGGTAAGTTGGGAATGTGTAACCCTATAGTCATAACTATAATGCCTTTTGTTTTTGGTAGGTGAACTTGGTAAGTTGTTGGTAAATGTATGTTTGTGTTGTACATTAAAAGCAAAAAATAATTGTATTTATAGCAGAAAAAGATGAAGTAAGGGTGAAAGAGACGAAAGGAGACAGAGGAGAGAGGACAGAGGAGAAGGGGGACAGAGACAAAGAGGAGGGTGGAGATAGTCAAAAGGAGAATGGTAAGATTAAAAGGTGAAACATACAACTATACATGACATTGTTTTTAATAGAATCAAACGGCTTAAGTAAGTTTATTTACATGTGTAATTGTGTGATAATTTTTGTTGTAAAGTAGCTATGTGAAGGACTATTAAGCTAAAAAGTAATTTTGCATTCAATTTCAGTTAGTTCTATTTACAACAAATAGGCAAGAAGAAAGAAGGAAGGCCCTTAGGTAATTAAACAATAGTTGAATTACTTCTACTTTATATTCACATTTGTGACCATAATTGGCAA